CATTCAGGTGAAATCTGTGTTCATGGTATGAGTAGATGCATGCTACCCTGTGGTCTATGCTAACAAAGTTGTCCTTTTTTTTCTTAGCTCAGAGATGGTGCTGGGCAGTACAGGTTGTATAGCAACCTCAAGACCCTGAAATGACAGTAAGTGGCCATTTCAGCAGAAACCCGGAGACACATGCATTTGTGCCAACCTTAAAAAAACAGTTTTGTTTATCTCAAGGATCCAGAGAGCTTCGGGGATGTAGTGGGAACATCAAAGGGAGGCTTGGTTTCCAGACCGTCTGATGGAGACACCGGGCTTTATCTGATCAGAAAACGCCGCTCACAGAGCCAGCAACCCATGCACAGTATCAAGGGAGTTTTCGTAGCCATTCTTCTGGATCGTGTTTCATTCCGTTGACTTCTCCTCTGAAGACAATAATATTTGGTGTGCTCAATTAAGATCTAATTCTTTTTGAAGTGCAGCCTACTGGAGAAAATGTCAGATCAGCGTTTGACAATCCCCCTTTTCCAAACGACCTTGGCGAAGACCTTTCAGTCTGTGTTGTTCACCCATCTGTCATGTCGTGATAAGGAAACAGACAGAACCTCTTTCTCTTCAGGGGCATATTGTGAGGTTAATGCTAGGTTCCTGGGGAACTACCTAGATAGAATGCCATGGAAATACAGGGATGAGTCTGCAAACACTTGCAGAGACCCTCTTACACCTTGGGCCTTGTAGTTTATTTTAGGGACTTACAAGTGCATGAGATTTGTTTGAAAGAAGTTCTACAAGGGCATCGAAGTCATGTGGTAAATATTTACAGAGTTGATGGAGGAAGGTCATTGGTTAATTAATAAAGAAACTGCTTGGCCTTATGGGTTAGAACATAGGTGGGTGGAGTAAACAGAACAGAATGCTGGGAGGAAGAGGAAGTGAGCTCAGATGCCAGGCCGCTCTTCTCCAGGGCAGACGCGATGAGGCTCCGACCCAGGATCGATGTAGGCTAGAATCTTCCCGGTAAGCGCACCTTGGTGCTACACACATTAATAGAAATGGGCCAAGCAGTGTTTAAAAGAATACTATTCGTGTGTTGTTATTTCGGGTAAAGCTAGCCGGTGGCCGGGAGCTGGGTGACAGAACACAGCTGGCAGCTCCCACTACACAGAGTGTCTATGCTTCAGGCACAGTTTTCTTGCTTTGTATATATTGACCCAAATCTACACAAAGTTGTTGTTTTGGCTTCCCAAACCCCTTGGATGTTCTTGAATATTTGGGTGCTGTTGAGAATAAATAGAAGAAACTTCTAGCTACTTCTTTCAAAGATTAAAGTTTTAATATAACAAAAACTTTATCTGTGACTGATATGCCAATGAAAGGAGGAACTGTGGTTTCCCCTTAGTGTGGTATGTGGCTACGGTCCATTTGGATGCGGCAAATTAACTGGTAATAAGAATGGCTTGCTCCCCAAAGTACATTACCCGAGTCTCCCCAATATATACTGTATCAGAACAGCAAATCTTTCTCCTTTCTCACATGATGAGATTAAATAAGGCATGGGAATACCTTCTCCTGCTTCCCTCCCTCCTTTATCTCTCCATCATGATAACTCATCAAGAGGCCTTACTTATTTGAATGTAAAAAGCTAGAATTTGGGATGTCTGGGGACTCTCCTCTATAAATTCCAGGATTCTTAAACCTCAGAGCATCATAGGTGTCTAGGAACATCTAGTGCCTATCTCTTCATGAAACAAGTGAAACAGAAGTCCAAAGACTGTAGCACCTGGCCCAAGGAGTCAGAGATAATAGAGCTGGGACTGGAAACCAAGCCTCCCGCCTCTATACAGTGGTCCACACTATGGTGCATGAGTCATCTGGCAGAGTTCTGTATCTGTGGAGAAGGAAGCAGTGGGCGCTGTTGTGGCCCTATGAATACAGTTTTAACACTGCCTTCTATTATGTACAGCTCAGAGCGCCCATCTGGGATTTCCAGAGGATGAGTTGTTAACTATGCAAAGCCAATCTTCCCTATACTAGGCAGTCAGGACTCTGAGTTACTACCATCAGACACTGGTTCTGCCTGCTTGGGCAACAAAGGAACTTACTGGAAAGAGTTAAAAGCCTGGTAATCGGGCTTGAGAAGCAGCTTAAAAAATGCACAGAGACTGGGGAACCTGGAGGGAGAGGAAGCAGGGCTGAAATCCCATCCAATGCCATGCCACAAAAAGGGCCTGTTAAGACCCTGTCACTCCACAACTCCCCAGGTCACGGTTCCACACACACCACAAGGTGTGTGTGTCTAAACTTAGACAGTGTTGCTGGCTTCAAATCCACAACCTCAAGCAAGAGAATGAGAATGGCCAACCGAGGCCACCTGCCCACACTTTGGCTGCCAAGGTTCAGAAGTGCAAACATCAACACTCCACAATATCAGCTTCTTCCAAAATAAGGTAATAACAAATCTGGACAGTCTTAAATAGCAAAAACAATAATAATAAAAATGAATATCCCCTGTCCTTTCAAACATACTACCAGTCTCTAGTTGGATTTGGAGAAGCTGGACAGTGTGGAGGTGCCCTGGATGTGCATCCAAACTCAGTTGAGGAAATTCAGGGAGGAGTTCACTGTGAACCCCGTGTTGCCCTGGAAAGAACTCCGTTCTATTTTCAGACCCGCGGAGTCTGGTTCAGAAGTTTATAGCTCCTTCTGGGCTTCATTTGCATGATCAGCAATCTGCTAATATCAGTCTCTACCCGCTGGACAACACAGCCAAGGATACAGGGCTGGGAAGCCACTCTGTTCACTGAATCCAAGACTTATGTCTCATAAGACCTGATGCTGTTCATTCCCAACAGTGTCGAAGGTCCTCTGAAAACAGGCATTATAAACACAGTCACCAGGAGGTTAAGTTACAGGATAGAATCTACTTTTCTATTATTTGAAACCAGCATCTAAATCTCTGAGATTTCTTTCTGCTTAATGCGTATCCTTTCAAGTCCTTAGACATTCGACAAGACTAGTGAGGTTTCCTGGGATGGGACCTAGAAAGCTCCAGGTAAGCACTGTAATGACGAGTGACAATCCTGGAGCTCATGGGAGCTTTGAGGACTCAGGATTCTTGGGCTGCCCAGAAGAGCAATAGAGAATGCTGTTGATCACTGATCTTTATGCTGAGCCCACCTTTTAAGTCAGCAAGGCAATATCTCTCAGGAGGCAGAAGGAAGCTACACTTTACTCTTTCAGCCTAAAGGAGGAAACCTTGTTCATTGGTACAGGTAAGCTTTTGCCTAGATCCCCAAGATACAAGGGCTTATTTTTCTTCCTTCTCCAATCTCTACTTCTCTCTTGTGTCTCTAATCCTTTCTCCGTCATTTTTCCTTTCTTTCCTTTTATTCCTTCCTCCCTCCCACCCCACCCTTTCTCATCCTTCCTCCCTCTCCTCTCTCTTCTGCCCTCACTTTCTCTTCCTTCCTTCGTCTCTCCTGCCACACACATTGACTGAGTGTCTGTGTTGAAACTTACACATGTGGGCTTTTTTGTCCCATCTTCTGAGCAATCCTATGAGACTTGTGGTTTCACTTCTATAGTTAGGGGAACCAAAGCTCAATAGAGATTAAGTCAGAAATAGTTTCAAGTACTTATATAGTTTTCAGGTAAGGAGAGAAAACATCTTTGCTTAATGATACTACAACCTTTCTAACTCTGAGATATGTTTTAGCACACCCAAGGGAGTTTTCATGATGGACAAAAAGTATCCATGTGTGAACTATGGTCTGTCCCTAAAGAGAATTCTGGTCTTCCTCATTTTCTCCATCCTCATCTTTCCTCTGCAGTAAACAGAGAAAGTATGTATGGATGGATTATGTATGTGGTATATATAATATATGTATACACACACACACACACACACACACACACACACATATATATATATATATATATATATATGTATATGCCTGGCCCTGGAGGTAATAAGGGCAGAATTCTGGAAAAATCTGGATGGCAACTCATTACCCCATGAGGCTTATTTAAAGTATCCATGTATTAGCAGGTTCACTTTTAGAATGCAGTTGCTTCCAGTCATAGCAGGAAACTCACCAGGGAAGCTGTCATGGAGACGTGCATCCCGCCAACCCCCACCACCTCCCAATAAGGACCAAAGCTCCCAAAACTAGCCAGGAGCCCGCATTTGACTGAACTTTTGGAAATGGCGCTATCCCTAGCAATTTGTTTCCCCAATGCGTAGGGGTTTTCTTTTTCTATGAGTTTGAAACTGTGACTCTGATTTCTTGTTGTAAAGCGCCGTTGGTGTGACTTCCTCAGCTGAGGGAGAAGATCTCTTTAGATGGTATCACCACAGGCAGGCTGCCGGCGTTTCAGTCCCACTGCAGCGTATAGGGTGACTTGTGAGAGGCCTCCAGTCCTGAACGATGTAGATGTATCCAATTGGACTTTGGGAAATCTATTCGGTTGTGTGTGTGCGCGCGTGTTTGGGGAGGGCTGGTCACGTGGCCGCCAGGCTCTCCAATCTGGATACCAATAAAGCAGACACCGGCCAAGAGGGAAAAATCAATGAGCGAAGCGGCTGGCCACTTTGCCCTGGCCTCGCGGAGCACTGCAGAGTCTGAGGCTCCGGAAGGGCGAGCCGAGTGCCGGGGAGAAAAGGAGAGCGGCTGACACCGTTAGCTTCTGCTTCGCCACTGGGGGCCGCAGTCACCTTCAGCATCAGGAACTAGGGAGAAACGAACCCCGAGGGTGGATCTGGCCGCTAGGCTCCCTCAAGCTCCAGTTTCTGCTTGCTTTTGCCCCGGCGCAGCAGGCACGACCCTGGGAAGAACAGGGGCCTTCTCAGGGTTCTGAGGGTGCGGGCACCCACTCTCTAGGCGACTGCAGCCTCTGGCAGGGCACGCCCTCGGTGGTATTGCCGCGCCCCTCCCGGGTCCGCCCCTCCCGCCCCAGGGAGCGCGCACTCGCTGCTGGAGAGTCCTGCCCGCCTCACCTTCCCAGGCGGGAGAAGATGGAGAAGACAAACTGGGTCTCCGGCCATTGGATTCCCGGCCCGAACTACCCATGGTATCCATGCCCGTGAAGTGGTGGCACTGACCGAACGTCAGAAACCGAGATTGGGGCAGATCGGGACGCAGAGGCCGCATCCCCCAACCACTGAGAGTCCCAGCATCATGCATGAGGGTACTGCCTGCCGGCTGCCCAGGGAAGTCCGGGCGCGACCTTAGCCTGGGCTTCAGATCCCAACCCCGCGCTCTAAGGGCTGAAGTCGCCCTATGCCAGGGGTGTCGCCCCAAGTGCAGAGCTTGGGCTGCTCTGGAGCCTAGGGCTCTTTTGGTTAGGGAACCTTCGAGAAGCACGCGTTGGAAGCTGTGTGGACCACCCCCTTAGGGAGCCACGGAAGACGTGCGGAGGGCCAGGAGCCCAGGGCCCGAGCAGCTTCAGAGGTAACTTCGGAGAGCGGGAGCCCGAGACCGGTGGGGACCTGAGCGCACGTGTGTGCAAGTATGTGCATGTGTGTGTGTACAAGGTGTAATCACTGTGTGCCGGCTGCTAGATTCACAGGAGCACTGTGTAAAGTCCTGAGCTGCTGGCGCTTTTCCCAGGCTCCACTGGGTTCCCGACTGCGAGCCACCTGGGAGCGGGGGTGGGGAGGAGTGGGCTTTTCGCTGATCTAGGTACTCTAGTGGGAAAGGGGTGTGCGTGTGCGCGCGCATATGGTGTGTATGTGTACGCGTGAGTGTGTGGTATGCATGTGTGTGCGTGCATGTGGCAGGCGCTAGGCTTGGCCATATCTGGTGGAGGGAAAAGAAGGAAGAGACACAAGGCCAAAGACTATGTAGTTTTGGGCAAGTTTTCCTGGTTGAGAATTTGTTTCCTGATTGAGAATTCGTTTCAGACAATGGTGCTTTGGGGGTTAAGTAGGTGAGCTGTCTGTGAAAAACCCCAACATATGAGAGGTGCAGAGTAAGGAAGAAAACTGAACAAATCCTAGAAAAACCGACCCGTGTATCCCATTCTTAAATTGAGATTTCCAGTCACGTTGATAGGGAAAAGGGGCTTCTTTCCTCCCGGAGATGGTCAGCTTCACCTGCCAGAAAGCACGAACGCCAGGCCTGGCTGGCAGCAGGGCTTCAGTTCATTCACACACTAGCTCACCGCTCTGCAGCCTTTCCCACCTGCTCTGTCGCCATCCCTGCCAAGTCCAGTACTCTCTGGGGCCACCGAACCAGCAAAGTAATCATTGGTCCTCTCTGCAGGAGTGCAGGGGGAAGGTATTTGAGTAGCTTGCTCAAACAGCGTTCAAGACAGCATTGTTTGTGTGAAGTGTACACACGGCGGCGACGGAGGGGGGGGGGAGGTTGTGGTCGGATTGTCTTTTCAGTGGGAATTAAGTAAATGTTTGCCAAGATCCAAAGGAGGAGAGATGTCATCTGTGCTATTAACGGGTCTGTTTTGTAGAACTTACATTTTCTTTTGTGCATGGGGTGATTTAGTTGGGAGCTGGTGGGACCATGGCAGCTGCCCTTGTGACTACGATTGGGGGTTTGATTATTTGGCTCTACTATGGTGTTATGCAGCATGACCCAAAAGAATTTCCAGGAGTAGTCGAGAGGCAGTGCACTTGACTGGTCTGCCTCACCATCTCCCTGCAAACAAGCTTCCATTACCACTTCTCCTGATGAAGTCTTCCTGCAGGTAGAAGCTAGCCACTTGCTCTGGGTATAGGAGCCTTCTGAGATGAGTTCCAAGCTCATTGACAGCCTGGGGAGGGGGCCCTTGCAGAGACTGCTCAAAAGAGAGTAGTGGGAGAGAGTTGGGTGACTCATGTCCAACCCCTTTGAGTAAGCTTTCCTTTTGTGTGTCAAAGGATAAGGTAGAATGGGAAAAGCCGACATGTCTGCGAATCAGCCAGTTTGAAGATTTTCTTAGGTACTGGAGCCTGCAGGGAAAGCCTTAAATGTCTGGCTCAGGAAAGCCTGGTTCTTATTGCATGGGTTAGTGATTTGTATAGATCTGCAACTATGTAAAAATAAGTGTCACTTGCCAGGGAAAGAGCAGCTCAAACAGTTCATTTGCATTTCTGACGAATTTGGTGTGTGAAAGTGTTGCATAGCACTTAATAGTTGGAAGAGAGACAAAGGTTTCATTGTCAGTGCTGTAGTCCTTTGGAATTTTGGATATATAATGTCATTATTTTCTTGGCCAATACTAGAGGCAAAAATTAATATGTCTTTCCAACATTTAAAATGGCTAATGTTCCCTTTAAATGTTTGTGCCTTTGGCAAGTTGTCTGTTCTGTCTTTTTGCAAAGCACACAGAGTGAGTATGAGATTCTTTTCTTTGCTGTTTTCTCAAGCAAGCTCTTTGGAAACCTTGGACAACAGGATGCAGAAAGCAGGCCTGTGACCATGGCCTGTGCCTGGGGGTGGGGGATGTGGGATGGGAAGGCCAGGAGCAGGAAGGGGAAGGCCCTGCTTGCTGCACCAGTCAAGTGGCAATGCATGCCTTCTCAGTCTAGCTGGGAAAAGGTTCCAGATTCCTCAGTGAATATGGTGCTAATGCTCCCTGATTAGCTTTTCCCGCTGACATTCAAATGTTTGTTTTTGGAGCTTACCCTGCAGGCTCAGTGTAAATTAAAAGGAAAAGAAAAAAAGAGGGATATTGAATGAAAGGCAAGCAGAGACAGCTGTATGCTTTTAATTCATTATGTGATCTTGGTTAATGCTTAACTTTTTGCATGCTTTTGGGCATTTATATATATGTGATATATATATATAAAATATGTGTATATAGATAGAGTATCAAACCAGATTCTTGAACCATGTCTTTCTTTTTATCTTTCTTAGAATAGAACCCTTTATGTTGAGCTTACAAAAAATTTAAGTGGATGAAACTGATTAAAAATCGGGGGAGGGCCACGGAAGCCTATTCATTCTCAGTGTGGTGTCTGGCTTCCTCTGGAGCACTGAAGGGCTCCTCGGAACTGGAAGGCTTCTCTCAGGAATGTGGCACACCATCTCCTGTGAGCTTTCCAAATGAAATGTTGTGGTCTTTAATTCAGTGTTGTCAGTGTGCCTGCCCTGAGTCCTTCTTAACCCAATGACAAGCACACACCTCAATGTGGTATTCATTCTCCACCCCTGGCTCCCGTGAAATCCTTTCTCATTAAGTATTATGGGAGTGGGATGAATTCATAGGATGAATGGGCCATGCAATATAGCTATGGCAGAATGACCTTCAGAATAGACTGTGGGTTGCGTGTGTGTGTGTGTGTGTGTGTGTGTGTGTGTGTGTGTGATTTGACACCATCATTTCAGCACGACTTATTGAACATGACCACTGTGTGGTTTTTCTGGTGCCCTGAGTATTATTCCATGGTCTCTATTATGAGAGCTTCCATAACAGACTTTTCTGTTGTCTTGGCAAGGCTTCGCCAGTGAGTGATACTCTGTGCTCTGACTCGAGAGTCTTCCTCAGTGATGCCCATTCTCTGTAGCAGGGAAAAGAAACCAACATAAAAGGTCAAAAAACTTAGAGGGACTGGAGAACTTCAGAATGTCATGGAAGTTTATGTGACCAGTAGCATGAGAGGCCACCATCAGAAATGAGGGAAAGGTTGTTGGAGGATTCGTCAGAGCTGTAGAAACTGAACTCTTTTGACTATGTGTGTGTGTGGGGAGGGGAGTGTGGATAGGTAGGAGGGGTAGAGGAGTACCCCATGCATGTGTGAGCAATGTGGGTCCAGAGTATGGGTAGGTAATGCCTAGGGGATGGGTAGACAGTGGGTCTGAGAGGATGGGTAGATGGTGTGTGGGTTGTTGGTAGGTAGTGAGTGTGGAGTGAAGGTGGAGGGTTGGGAGAAGTGTAGGGTATAGAATATGGGGAGGTTAGATGTGTAGGATGTGGGTAGGTAGTATTTGTTGTGTTTGTGTAGGTAGTATGTTTGGGGGAGAAGTAGTAGTATGCATGAATTGTGGGATGTGTGTAGGTAGTGTGGGTGTGGAGTGTGGCTAGGTGGTATGTGTTTGTATGGTAAGTGGTATGTGTTGGGTATGGGTAGGTGATGTGTATGAGGTGTGGGTAGATGGTAGTGTTTGGTTTGGGGCTGGTACTGTGTGCTGGATATAGGCAGTTGGTATATATGGGCTTTGAGTAGTAGTATATGTGCAGTGTGGGGCTATGGCTGGTGACCAAGTCTTCAACACAAGGTTATGTGGGGAAACCTACCTGAATTATATCAGGAGCTAAACACCTCACTTGGTGCTTTTCCACTTCAGAATGAAAATATTTTCAGGCTCCTTATGTTTTTTAATAATAAAATGATCAAACTAATTGCTGCTCTTTTCTGCTTCATTTGTTATGATAACATATGTTTCTCCTTTGCCTTCCTTCCTTTGTAAACCGGCCATTTTTGTTTTGGGTTATTTATTCCTTATTAATTTTTAAGAGCTCTCAATAAGATACAAGAAGCTTCTGCTCCCTGCCTTTTCCTAATTTTATAATGTCTAGAGACATGGTGACCAAGCACTTTTCATTATCTAAATGAATCTGCCCTTTTCTCACCGATTTGAGCATTTGGGATCTTGTAGAATATCCTTCCAGAATCCCACATTACCTAACCCTTGACTCAGTCTTTTGTATTTTTGTTTCAGCTTTGATGTGCAGACCAGGAGTAAAGGTGAACTCATTTGTTTAACCAATAGTTTACTGACTATCCCAGTAATACTTAGCCAATTTATTTCTATTGAACAAACCACGGTCTTGGAATTGCCTTGAAATGCTGCCTCTGTCATATGCTGTATCCTGACCTATGCCTTCGTCTGCTTCTTGTCATCCTGTTCCACTGATTTATTGAAGTTTTAATATATAGCCACCCAAACTGTTTTTTACTTTGACCAGAATTCTTCTGTATTTATAGTTTACTTTTATTTGTGTGTTTTATCTGTGTGTTTGTATCTATGTGAATGGATGCAGCACACTCCAGGAGGCCAGAAGAGGATGCCAGAGCATCTGGACCTGGGATTACAGACAGACATGAGTCCTCAGCGTGGGTGCTGGGAAAGGAATCGGGTCCTCCTCTTAGCCAGTGAGCTTCCTCTCCAGCTCTACTGACCAGGATTCTGTTAATTAATCAATTAATTAGTTAGTTATTTTTAAAATGATATTTTCTCATTTTCCATACCTATCCCAGTTCTCACCGTGTCCCTTCCTCCTGCTTCCGCTACCTTCCTCTCACTCCCCTCCCATCCACTCCTCAGAGAAGGCAAGGCTTCCCATGGGGAGTCAGCAATGTCTGACACATCACTTTGAGGCAGAACCAAGGCCCTCCCCCTTTATATCTAGGCTGAACAAAGTATCACTCCAAAATGAATGGGCTCCAAAAAGCCAGTTCAAGTACTAGGGATAAATCCTGGTCCCACTGCCAGTATTCCTATAGACTGCC